GCTCTGCTCAGCCACAAGCCAGGCTGACAGCTGCCAGTACAGCAGGAAAGCTTTTTCTTACAATCCACAAGTTTGTTTTTGCTACATTTTTATGCGTCTCTTTTGCCCTTTAGAAATGTTATTTTCAAAATCTATATCCAGTGTTAAAAGCAGAACAGGAAAAGAGAAACTGCACAGCTGAGAATTAAAAAGAAAAACTTTTTCCCCAGTCAGAATTCAGCTTTGGGGAAAAAAAATGTTTTTTTAATTTAGAAACCTAAGTAATACAAACTTTATCTAGATATACCTCTGCCCTTTATCTATATATAGAGGCACGGTGCACGACATTCGTACACTGTAGGGGGAGGTCCCTCAGGCGGGCCTGCACCCTCTTACAGTCTGGAACACCTCGGGGGATGTCTGCCTGTCATGGCGGCAGGTGGACATCCCCCAAGGAGTCCTTAGTGCTGCCACAGAGGAGAGACTCCCACCACCACCACTGCACTTGCCACCATGAGCCCAGCTTCTCGCTGAGTGGCGCTCCCCCTGTGAAAGCACACTGAGCACCAGGGAGCAGCTCCTGCATTGAGTGTCTGCCCCCTGGTGGTGACTGCACATCATAGCTTTTATCTACACTAATAAAAGGCAAACATGCAAAATACCTGTACCTTCACTACATCTTAAGCCATGCCCACCAGCCAATCAGAGCGACTATATGCAAATTAACCCAACCAAGATGGCGGTCGGCAGCCACAGAGCTGGAGCAAGCAGGAGGCTTGGTTTCCCCAATGATGGAGGAAGCCAAGCTTCCCAGCTACCGCGGCCTGGCTCTGAGCTCCACTCAAAGCAACAAAGTTTCAATTATAGAAGGTAAATAAACCCCAGATCCCTGCTTTCAACCCCAATGCAGGAGCTGCCCCCTGGTGGTCAGTGCGCTCCCACAGGGGGAGCTCTGCTTAGCCACAAGCCAGGCTGATGGCTACCAGTACAGCGGTGGTGGTGGGAGCCTCTCCCGCCTCCTCAGCAGCGCTAAGGATGTCTGACTGCAGCTTAGGCCTGCTCCCCACTGGCAAGTGGACATCCCCCGAGGGCTGCCGGGTGCCAGAGGGATGTCTGACTGCCAGCTTGGGCCCGATCCCCCAGGGAGCAGGCCTAAGCCAGCAGGTGGACATTCTCTGAGGGGTCCCAGACTGCAAGAGGGCATAGGCCAGGCTGAGGGACCCCCCTGAGTGCACAAATTTTTGTGCACTGGGCCTCTAGTATTATAATAAAAGGCTAATATGCAAATAGACTGAACGGCAAAATGACCGGTGGAATGACTGGTCACTATGACACGCACTGACCACCAGGGGGCAGACGCTCAATGCAGGAGCTGCCCCCCCCCCGCCCACAGGCCCCAGGCCAGCCAAGGCGGGTGTCAGTGGGGGCCCCCCAATCATCCCGCCAGTCACCCCACAGATCAGCCCTGATTGCCGGCCTGGCCTAGGGACCCTACCTGTGCACAAATTTCATGTACCAGCCCTCTAGCATAGGATATAAAAGCCTAAGCTACCAAACGATGGAATGAGCGGTCAACCGGTCGCTATGATGCACACTGACCACCAGGGGGCAGACACTTAATGCAGGAGCTGCCCCCTGGTGGTCAGTGTGCTCCCACAGCGGGAGCGCTGCTCAGCTGACCAGTGGACGCCAGTCATAAGGCTCACGGCTGGCAGTGGCAGGAGCCTCTCCCAATCTGGACTGACTGGGCGCAAGCCCGCGGCAGGCACAGCAGGGGCTGGGATGAGCAGGAACAGCAGGCGGCGTTGGACTGCTGATTTCAGCCCAATCCCTGCAGGTGACGCTGAGGGACCCCAGTTTCCACATAATTCCCCAATCCAGGGCTGGTGGCAAATCTCTCTCCCTCTCTCTCTGCCAAAATTCTCAGTGAAAACAAACCAGAATTGAAATTAAGAACACATTTCATTCCCAGGTAGTTTCTTGGGAAGGAGAGATTAGAGAAATTTGGCTGGTGGTATGTTTTTGTTTAAAAGGAATTCTAAGAATCTTTTCCCAGGATTGGGATTTGGAGGCTCACGTGGAATGAGCAGGAAGAAGTAATGGATTATCCCGCTGGCGCAATGTGGCCGTGACGGGTCACTCCACGAGGCAGGAGGCTCCGCTCCCGGGCCAGGGGCTCCCTCCGGGGAAAGCCCCGTGGGGGCCTTTGAGAGGCGGGTTCCTGAGCTCCGGCGCGGCCTGCTGCCAGGTGAGTGTCGGGGAGTGAGCCAGGAGCACGCGTGTCAGCCAGCACCTCCAGAAGTTTGCACAGTCTAACCTCAGAGGCCTTCTGCCCCAGGATTGTCACTCACACTCGGTGTAGCTGATCTGTGAGGGCCTCAGAGAGACCCCGAGTCACCAAGCCCCTGCTGTCACTTGATGCGTCGCTTCACGGCACAATATGTGCACGTGCATATCCGACACCCGCTGTTTAAAGCAGCACGGAGCTGCCTGGTCTTGGGGAGCAGAATTGGGGATGAGGGAGCCCTGGGTGCACCACAGGCCCGGCACATGCAGTGAACTCCCTGAAAGTGGCGAGCACTCTTTGCTGTATTTTACGATTTGGATGTTTTAAAGCCCATAGAGCAGCAGGGTATTAATGGGTTTAGCATGAACCTGTGGAGGGGAGATACTCTTCGGTCTCATCATTCAGGATGTGCCTTTGCTTCACAGCCCCATTTATCAACTTTAAAGTGAAAGGTGTCCACTGATTTCCCGATGATCGCGGCCACAGACCAGCCGCTGGACGTTACCCGCACGCGGTGCTGCTCTCTCCCTGCTGTGACCCGTGGTCAGCGGCCGTCCTTACCGGCGTTCCGGACGGAGCCGTTCAGCAGCGCGACTACGGTCTCCAGCATCACACCCGTCAGTTCCCGCTCTGGGTCCCGGACACCGGGGCTGGGCTCCTTGTTTCCTGAAACATTTAAGAAGCAGTAAAAATGTTAATGTGCACGGCCGATCCCAAATCCCCGACTGCACCCGTTTCCTACCCTCTTACAGAAAGGCGAATCTAATGCTTCCATTGTAAAGGAGTGCGCATCCCAGGTGAGAAGATGTAACCCCACCGCCCCTGAGAGCAATGGTCACCACACCAACACCTCCTGGAGGCTCGTTCCTAAAGCCCAGGAGCTGGTCCCTTCCCCGGGGTTTCTGACTTAGAGGTCTTGAGTGGAGTCCTATCACTGTGTCCCTAACCAGTCCCATCTGTGCTGATGGGCAGGCGTGAGGGCCAGGCTTGGAGAACCACTGTTGTGCAGGATCCCCGAAGCCCTGCCTTCTTCACCTTCCTTTGGATACCCGGGGGGGTTGGCGGGGGGGAGGCTGCCAGCTCACACCACAGGCACGAGATGCGTGAGAGACCATGGAGTAGACTGTGTCCCCAGTAGCTCCATGAGGGCACACCAGGCCTGTGTGCTCACCTGAGTCCCCAGAGCCGAAAGAGCCTGACTCAAGAGGGAAGTTCAGCACATATGTGGGGAATGAATGAATGAGTAAAGGTAGCGCTTATTAACCAGGAGACAAAGTATCCAAGAAACAGCAAGAAACGTAACAACAGAGGCAGGAAATAAGCTCAGATCCATCAGCTCACAAGAAGGTTCGCATTCTCCGGGAGTGGTCGTAGGCCTGGGACTGGGTTTGAGAGTAAGTCTACACCAGGCTGCGGAGAAGCCTGCACAGCTAAGGTAACAAGAAGCACTGGCCCCACGTGGGAGATACTCTTTGGTCTCATGGTTTAGGATATGCCTTTGCTTCAAAGAGCAGTAGAAAGAAGCACAGACAAGACTCGTGGAGACCTGGCTCGGGGCCCAGCTATGCCCGACGGAGCGCCTGCTCCTCAGCCCCGCACCCCAGGAGGCACGGTCCTTCTGGGCTCCACAGTGGTGGGCGTTCCTCCTGGCGGGTCATCTGTCTCCATGCGTGGCACAGGGTGAATAGGGGTAAGATGACTGACATTTCTTGAGTAACTACTATGCACCAAGCACGACAATGGGTCCCTTCAGGCACTTCCCACTGAATTTTCACAACAGCGATAGATAGATAGATAGATAGATAGATAGATAGATAGATAGATAGACAGACACTTCCATGTTACAGAGGGGAGAAGAGGCTCATCGAAGCTAAGTAATTTGCTCAGGATCGCTGAGCCCCTACGCAGCACAGCCGGGTTCCAGCCCAGGGCTGGCTGGCCCCACGCCCATGCGCTCTCCCTGAGCATCTTTCCTTCAGAGAGGCCAGGAAGCCGGCAGACTGATGACTGTAGCTTGAGTCTGAGCAGAGTTCCAGAAGGGCCAATGGCTCGTGAGTCCGCTCCCTCCCAGCCAGGCAGTAGGAGGAGTAGAGGCGGGAAGGTGGAGCGAGGTCAGTGACAGGCTCCTGTGACTCGGAGTCGCTCCAGGCGGCAACCCAGAGGGGCAGCTGTGGACAGATGGAGGGAAAGCCAGGGGTACTGAAATGATGTTCATGCTCTGATTCCCGTCTGAAAGTTGGCGGAGGTGGGGGTTGCAGACAACCACAGAGGGGCCCCAGCAGAGCGGGCCCATGGGGTGCGGTCAGGCAGCAAGGGAACCCGGGCCAGCACTCCTGAGTGTGTCCTGCTGCACACAGGGTCCTGAAGTCCCCCAGGGGGAGTAGAGGTGCTGATGCTGAGGGTCCAGAGTGTAGGGGCTGCAGGGGGAGGAACAACGCCAAGGAGCCATGGGCACACAGCCCAGCAGGGCACACAAGGTGTGGCCAAAATTCGGAGGGGCAGCTGAACGGCAGGGACCCCTGCTCCCAATGGGAGACCATTGGGCCAAACAGCACCAGGTGAGCAAGGCGGCCGCATCCAGGCTCCCCAGCCAGTCCCTACCTGAGCCCCATGCCTCTCTGAGCTCCTTTCCCTTGGCCCTTCCCCCGCCATCTCCCCATCTCCACACTCAGGCAACACTCGGGGAGGAAATGTGTGAAAGCTGAGAATTCATGGGCCTGAGCTAGCTCCATGAGTCTGTTAAAATTACACCCATCCTGCCCTGGCCAGTGTTCTCAGTGGTTAGCGTGTCAGCTCATGCACCAAAGGGTCACAGGTTCAACGCATAGTCAAGGCATGTACCTGGGTTGCAGGTTCACTCCCCACTCTCCTGGTCGAGGCACATGCCGGAGGCAACCAGTCAATATGTCTCTCTCACATCGATGGAGTCTCTCTCTCTCTCTCTCTCTCTCTCTCTCTCTCTCTCTCTTTCTCTCCCTCACCCCACGCCAAGGAGCCATGGGCACACAGCCCAGCAGGGCACACAAGGTGTGGCCAAAATTCGGAGGGGCAGCTGAACGGCAGGGACCCCTGCTCCCAATGGGAGACCATTGGGCCAAACAGCACCAGGTGAGCAAGGCGGCCGCATCCAGGCTCCCCAGCCAGTCCCTACCTGAGCCCCATGCCTCTCTGAGCTCCTTTCCCTTGGCCCTTCCCCCGCCATCTCCCCATCTCCACACTCAGGCAACACTCGGGGAGGAAATGTGTGAAAGCTGAGAATTCATGGGCCTGAGCTAGCTCCATGAGTCTGTTAAAATTACACCCATCCTGCCCTGGCCAGTGTGCTCAGTGGTTAGCGTGTCAGCTCATACACCAAAGGGTCACAGGTTCAATTCCTAGTCAAGGCATGTACCTGGGTTAGAGGTTCACTCCCCGCTCTCCTGGTCGAGGCACATGCCAGAGGCAACCAGTCAATATGTCTCTCTCACATCAATGGAGTCTCTCTCTCTCTCTCTGCCCCCCCCCACTCTCTCTGAAAAGCAATAGAAAAAATATCCAGGTGAGAATTAACAACAAAAACAAAACATAAAATTACACCCATTCCCCTCATCTTTCCATGGGGAAGCTCAGGTTAGTCATAGGAGATAGGGAGGCTGCTGCTCTGTGAAGTCATGTGCCCCGGGGTTCCTTCCCTGAGCCCCATGGGCCAGTGACGGGGCAAGCCCACTTTCTCGGGTGAGTTGATGAGCGGGAGGGTGGGCCTGCAGAACCGGCCCAGCTAACGGACGCCCAGCCTGTCCCCCTCCACCTCCCAGGCTTCTGCACACCTGACTTCCTCAGGACCTTGGCCCGCTTCCGCAGCTGGGCGAGCAGCAGGCCCAGGAGCCCCGAGTCCCGGAAAATGTCTGTGAAGAGTGGGTCCGCGCCAGCGATCCTGAGGACACTCTGCAGGGCCCTGAGGGTGCAGAGCGGCTCGGAGCTCTCCATGATCAGGCGCTGCACCTTCCCCAGGATCTCGTGGGGCACGTAACGCAGCTCAAACACCAGGGCCTCCAGCAGCTGGAAGAAATGCGTCTGCACCTGGGCCGGCTTCAGGGGCACGAGCTCCACGAACTGCGAGATGGGCTGCAGGGTCCACTCCAGCAGGAAGAAGTTGCGGGCGTTCCAGGCCCACATGGTCCTGATGGCCGAGAGCACGTGCGTGCAGAGGAGGGCGTCGCTGGCTTTGTGGAAAACATTCTGCAGGACCTGGAAGGCCTGGAGGTTCTTAACGGTCACCCCTGCAAATAAAAAAGATCCTACAGGTCATTTCTCCTGCCTCTGCCTAGAGATGCGTGATTGCCTTATCATCAGGAAATACCGTTTAAGGTTTCTGTTTTCTAGCTCTTGTGGGTAAAAGCCTATCAGAAGTCCCGAAGCCCAGCTGCCCAGAGTGTAAGGCCCGAGCTGCACTGTCCGCGACGAGGTGGGCGACAGCGCTGGGAGGGTCACCCGCGTGTGAAAATGCACTGGGTTTCCAAGACACAGCAAAGAAACATGCAAAAAAGCCACTAACAATTATTTGTAATGACCACATGTTGAAATAGTCATACTCTGGATATGTTGGGTTAAATAGAAGGTATTATGAAAAATAATTTAAGCTGTTCCTATTTTTTTTATATAAGGCAACTAAGATGTTTAAAATGAGGGAATGCGACTCACATTGTATTTCCATTGGACAGCACTGGCTGAAGGATTCATTTCCATCAATTGAAATCAAATTATTTTAAACATTACTGAGCAAAGTCTGCTTCATTTGTAAACAAGCTGTTGAATAGACACCTCCTGACCGCCCCCCCCCTTCTCTGCAGCTTGAAGGTTAGGCCCATTCCCTCTTGCCCGAGGACACCCCCTCTGAGGCCCTGCCTGCAGCCAGCCCTGCCTCAGACACCAGGGCCCTCCCTCTGGTCCAGACACTTCCTTGGGAGCTGGGATCCCATCCAAGGGCTTTTCCTAAACTTCCTCCCTCCTCCCCACCCGCTCCGAGGCCTCTGCACTCTGGTCAGCTCAGGCCTCGGCACCGTTTCCCCAGATGCTCCCAGTCACTGTCTATTTCCCGCCTGTGCTCCCTGCCTTTAAACCTCTTCCCTGCCTCTCTGCCTGGACAGCCACGCGAGGCCTTGAACACACCTCTGTGCAGCGTTTCCTGACCCAGAGCCCACCCACCGCTGGAGTCACCGCCGCCCTGATGCTGTCATCGGTCAGGTTAGGCACATGGTCGCCGAGCAGGTATGGCTGCAGGTATGTGTGACCATCTCCACAGAGGATTTGCAGGGAGCGGACACCCGGCGCCCAGCACGGGGCAGAGAGCTGGCTGCAGAAAGCACCGCGCATGTCCCCTGAGCTCATCAATAAGCGTGGGCCTCGCCAAGAGCCGAGCAGGCACGGACCTGAGCCAGTGACTGTCTCAGGGCCGAGTCATTAGATCTGAAAATGTTCTCGCACCAGGGACGGGGAGGCCAGGGGGTCCCGCCCCTACTTGACAGTCCCTGCCTTTACTAAGCAACCGTGCACTCTAAGTCCCACCCAAGGCATGTAGAAAAATCTATGAAGGAGAGATTTAAATCCATAGGCCATCTCCCCAGATGTGTGACAGAACTAGACCTCAAGTGTTTGTTTCTTTACAAAGACCGGGTGGAAGCCTGGGCAGCCCTGTGAGGGCACAGTGCCCATTGCGGGTACCTGACCCGGCAGACTCACCGGAGGCCTCCTGGTGGAACTTGAAGCCTTCCAGCTGAGGGTAGGTGACGCTGTCAAACACCTTCAGCTCCGCCCGCCCGCAGGTTGTCAGCCACACCACCAGCCCCAGGAGCTCCTCCAGGTGGGGATCCACTTCGCGCAGGTGCAGCCCATCATACCTGCAGGGACAGGGAGGCGGCTCCTGGGCTCGGGGACCAAGAGCCACGTTTGCTCACGGTGCTCCTCACGGGGGTGCAGAGGCAACGGGATTGACGTGCTGGGAAAGACCCCAAAGGTCCCCACCACGTCAGCACCGAGAGGTAAGGGCAGCGCCTGGGTAAGGTCAGCTGCCGGCCAAGGTCAGCTGCCGGCCAAGGTCAGCCTTCGGCCTGAAAGTGCAACCAGAACACAGAGGCAGCCCCGGCCTCTGCTCACAAGGCTGCTTTCTGTGGCCTGACCCCAAAAGCCATGTGCTTTGGGCAGGAGCACCCCATAATGAGAGCTTTCACATTTCTGAAGAGCAACAAAGGGGAAGAGTCTGACCAGGCCAGGCCTCCCGCCGATTTCAGGGCTGAGCACTGGTTCCTTAGCTGCTGGGAGGGGCTCGCACTGGGAGGAGGCCCTGCTATGCCCACAGTGTGTGAGTCAGCATGTGACCCCGTAAGGCAGAAAGGAAAGCAACGAGCAGCCCGGGCCTGGGACAGCTCCTTCCCTCCTGCCTCCACAGGAAGTGGGGGCACCAGCACCCATTTAACCAAAAAGTGTTCAGGAGCTGCTGTGACCTAGGCCTTCCTGGTGGCAACAGCCAGGGGGTCAGAGTTCAGACTAATGTGAAAGGTGCGTCATCACAGGGACATGTGTCCCTGTGGAAGAAGGCCCTCTGGTTGTCATTTAGTCACATCATTTTGGAGACAGCACTGCAGGCTTCACCACCAGACAGCAAGCCTGACTCAGCGAAGTCCCTGAGCACAGCGCGGGCTGCGTCCCAGAAGAGGCCTGCTCACGCACAGGCAGAGCCGGGGAGATGTGAGCCCCGCTGTGCCGTGCCCCTAAGGTCAGTGGCGTTTGCAGTCCCAGACATTCTGTGATTCTCCTCTTGGCTTACCCACCCCCATGCCCCAACCTGAAGGTGACGTGCTGGTCAGAATAGAGCCAGCCAGCTGAGTTCTCCTGACCCCACGGAATAGTGTCTGCGCTTGCTTTCCCAGGGACTTAAGGGGTCAGGACTCAAGGGCGAGGACAGGAGAAGCTCTAGGAGACAGAAGGAGGCAGTAGGGAGCGTTATGGAGCCAGCGTCCCATCAGCGACTGGAGCCCAAGCCTCCTGGGCTCTGGGGGGCAGGGTGCCACTCTCCCCCCCACCCCCACCCCACAAGTGGTAACTTTGCTGGTTATTTATCCATCAGCTTCTGCCCATCACGGGTTGAGGACTGCTCGTGGGGGCCATTCCCAGCACTTCCTGCCCTTCAGCACATGGCTGCGCCCATTAGAGCCGTCCCAGAAAGCCCTCCAGCCCTCCACGTGGGCTCCCACGGCGTCTGTCGGGCGGGATGGCATGGAAGTGGTCCATGCCACCAAGGGACTTGGCACAATTATCACCACCAGCCACTGGCTCTCCAAGGGAGTGGCTCTGGCTCCCAAGCCCACTGCACGTTGAATTACTTTTGCAATAAAACTCTCTCTGGCCACACTCTACAGAGAGGTGTGTTTCAGACACGCGGGGAAGCCCGCGGATCTTTCTCCGAGGCACCCAGTGATTCTGAGGAGCGAGGTTCGGGGGTTCTCCCCACCAGGCACAGCGCTTACCGGAGGAACACTTTGAGCAGCAGAGGGTAGCCCTCCCCATTCTCAAACTCCAGGAGCAGAGCCTGGGAGACGGGGTAGGCGTCCTTCACGAAGCCCAGGACCAGGCCTGCAGCCTCGCTCAGCTCGGGGGCGGGGAGTGAGTCCGCCAGCCGGGAGAGGTTCTGGAGGCAGAGCTTGATGCAGTCCCTGGCTGCGGGAGGAAATGCAGTCTGCTCAGAGCCAGGCTTTTCTGCTGGTCGTTCCCTCCCGCCCCACCCCCTCCGGGCTGCACATCAAGATGTGAGTTAATCCAAAGCATTTTTCTTTTGCTCTTGGATCAAGAAGATGACTCCCCCTGGGAATCGCCATCCTGAGAGCGGGCTCTGCAGGTCGGACGGAGGCTGAGACAGGAGGGAAGCCTGTCAGCCCTCTGCTCCCAACCCCCAGCTCCTGGGAGGGGCTGGGCCACAGGTAAGAGATGCCAAAGAAGCAGCTCCGGAGGTGGCAAAGAGCAGCCTGAGGACAAGTGCAGGGGAGGCCGTGGGTGTGTGCGAAGGAGAGGGGACAAAGATGGTGGGTCTCAGCACTAGAGTCAGGGGTCAGAGCCCCACTACAGGACACAGGGAGGTGGCTAAGCAGGGCCACGGTGGGGCCTGGCCATGCCGGTCCCCCAGGGCTGTGGGAAGCCGAGGAAGACTTGCACTAGAAGAGAAGTATCACTGGGTTTGCATTTTGACTGATCACTGTTTTTATGGCTCTTTCATGGGGAGAAGTCTCTTCCAAGTGTGAGAGTCAGGAGGAGTGCCAGCACTACAGGACACAGGGAGGTGGCTAAGCAGGGCCACGGTGGGGCCTGGCCATGCCGGTCCCCCAGGGCTGTGGGAAGCCGAGGAAGACTTGCACTAGAAGAGAAGTATCACTGGGTTTGCATTTTGACTGATCACTGTTTTTATGGCTCTTTCATGGGGAGAAGTCTCTTCCAAGTGTGAGAGTCAGGAGGAGTGCCAGAAAGTGAGGGAGAGCTGGAGAAGGTGAGGGAGAGCTGAGAAGGTCAGGGAGAGCTAGAGAAGGTCAGGGAGAGCTGGAGAAAGTGAGGGAGAGCTG